ATACCATCGCATAGTTCTTTCAGCTGTAACAGAAGATAAGGCATGTGTTCCAGAATGTTTCAGGTGGTTCACTATTCTCGAAAATTTCAAATGACATGCCTGCATGATCTTTAACGAGGTAACCTACAACAAAAGTACGTATTGGTCTTTCATACAGCAGCGTGGTAAAGTTTATGGTCCTTCAGAACCCACAGATCAAGAATACCAGTTCATTCCACCGTGACATCATGTGATCAATGTTGACAGGGGCGCCCTTATTGGACAGAGGCATCGTGACGTTTTGATGGGATTTAGGATGACATAGAATTTATTTAGAGGAAGTCTTTTCGCATACCTCGTCAGACAGGCAGGATTTCAGGGAAAAAAACCCGGTGAGTCCTTCATGGAACCTTTTCTTAAGCCCATTGAAGACTCCTCGTCGCCTGAAACCACTACCTTCAATGCCAAGTGCCAAGCCTACGGGAAAGTAACTCCGGGATCAAAAACTCCCACTTCCAATTTCAAGCTTCATCTTAATTGGCGTCCCAAACAAATTCTACAAATGTATTGCAGTATCACTATTTCTGTATTTGTATTTCTGCCCTCCCTAAAATGTATACGTCTATTTGTATTTCAAAAAGTTTTTGCCTCTATTTAAAATGTATTTCCGATACGTATCACGGTACACTTTTTCAGATACATTTCAGTATCAGTATTTTAGCTACCATTTTAATGTATCTCATTATTTGTATTTCAAAATATATTTTGAGTATTTCTGCCATACCCTGCAGGCGTCAACACCCAAACTTCTTGCCGCGAATTGGCGAATTCAAATTATACTCCATCTCGCAAACATCTGCAGTGCAGACAAAGGCCTGATCAGGAGCGCGTTGGTTTAGAAAGTGCCTCTTATGCACCAGCTCTTGTACAAACAAAATCATTTTGCTGAGCTAAACTCAAGTGCCTTTTCCTTTATTGCGGACATGTGCCTTTGCCTTTATTGCGGACATTTGTGAACTGGAGTAATACGGAATCTGCACTGGAGCGTAAAGGTACCTTTAGCTTAGGTCCCTTATCTGAAGGTACCTGTAGCAAACGGCGTTCTTGATCACACGGTAAATAACCGGATCACTTTAAGTTGATGTCGGTTGCATTCCTGCTGAACCGCGAGAGGAGCGCGGAATAAACAATTATTCCTTGAAATCGGTTTGACGCGCGGTTTTTTATTATTATGTGTGAAATACCACATTTAAAATCAAAATATTATTTGTGTCTGCTTTTGCGGCACTTTATTCTTTTTTTTTTTTCTGTAAGTCTAAATGCCCGCAAAAATTATTCTTTCTTTAAAACGCCATACCCGTCTGGCCAAACTGGCCCTAAATAAACTGCATTTACGAGTTTTCATTGCGAGGTGGGCGACCTTTTTTAGCAGCTCCATTTTTCCACAAAGTTCTCACTGACGTAGCTGAATAATGCCCGGCAGAAACGAACCAGGTCGGAGACTCATGGTTATGCCAGTCACGCCATTGGAAGGAATAGACGACGACGAGGATAAAAGGTCCTGATTGGGAGAGTCGGGCGACTCGTCTACAACTTCGAGAAAGAGCGCACAGTGGTCCGTCGCGTTCGGGTTCGTAGCAGACATTGTTTTCCACGTACCGCCGCTGCTCCCTTCTAGCTGGAGTATGCGTCCTTCGGTCATGTATTATTTCATTATATTTGTCTTCATTTTCATTTCATAATTTTCTACTTATATATATCTAATTTGTTATGATGCATTAAACAAGACATATTTATATAGCTATGATCTTTATTTTGTGTTCGCGGGTCGGAGGCTGATCCCTGTAGCTGTAAAGGGTGCTTGTCGAACTCCGTTTAACACAGGACTTCTCTTAGCAAATGGGACCTTTGTACCACGTGTGATTACGGTCTCCAGATCCCTTTACTACAGGTGCCAGTGCCAAAGAAACCTTTACGCCGCCGTGTGATTCGGGTATAAGTCGTGAAACAGAGGAACGTGGTTCGGGAGGCATTATACGTGGCGGTGACTATTCCCGCCCTGTATATTTCCGGCGTCAAAAACGAAGCAGCATAGAAAGATTTCATTTGAAACGCCAATAATAATAATTATTAGAAACTGCCGGATCTATGCTAAAACTCCGAGGCTCAGTGAAATTCGCCACGATAAGAGATCTAAAGAAACAAAATAAATAGTCCAACGGTCGTCGGCGGCGTCATGAGGTGTCGCCGAGTGCAGAGTATAACGGTTTTGCAATTGATTACTGTGAACGACTTCGAGGGCTGATTATTTCGCAATTTAGGTGAAAGCTGATGTTTTCGAATAATTCGCAGGCTCTAATTTTCGAGACGCGGTGCAATCTGACTATAGATTCTAATGTGTTTACATTTTACCGTAATTGTTCGCGTGACCTATATTTTGCGATTAGTATGCGATTCGCGAAATTCGCGAAAATTAGGTTTTCGCGAAAATTGAGTCGTTTACAGTATATTCTACATTCGCAAAGTTCTTTTCTTTCTTTCCTTTTTTTTTTTTTTGACGCCGCCGAATTTTTGACGTTAAAATTCTCAACCTTTTTTGTTCAAACGCGTTGTTCGTTATTAAATTAACATATAAGCTTCAAATAAGTGTTGAAGACGTCGTGGCAGCCTTTAGGGTAAAAATACAAAAAAAAATGAAAACAAGTAACAGTGCGAGCGGTTGGGCGCTCCTTCTCTCAGCAACGAACACGCCGTCGGAGCCTCCAACAGATTCCTTCTTCGTTCTTATTTTTTTCACTTTGTTAATTTATTTTGTTGTTTGGTTCGAGTGTTCTAATAGTATTATTGGGGTTGTGTGGGTATTTCGACAGTATCTAGTTGGTCAGCCATTTCAAAGTTGCGATGAGTCACTTGCTGTAGATGAGGAACTTGGCCAGTGCAGTAGAACCGCTAGCCTGGGGTCTTTAAAGGGATACTGAACCGAAGAATTTAGTGCCCAAATGAGTGGCGCATGTTCTTTCTACGAGCCAGCAGCCGCAGGTGTGCTCGAGCACAAGCAACGAAAATAACGTCAAAGACCTACATTCGCGCTTAAGGGGACACACTGTAAAATCGATTTTCTGAAAACTACAGAAAAAAATATGTCAACTTTTTTACCTACATTCTTTGCTTTCCTGTGTTCTGTTTGTATCTAGTTTCATCAAGAAAGTCTGTTTAAAAATTTCTTGTGATTTCACAAAATTTTTGTTTCTGCGAGAAAAAAAAAAACGGAAAGCTCTGTAAATTCAGTTTTCTGTTCTGCGCAAGCCTGTAAAAATACAGGTATTGATATTTCTGTTGCCTGTATATTAACCATGCAAACCTGTGAAAATACAGGTTCTCCGATATTTCTGTTGCCTGTAAATGAACCGCACAAACCTGTAAAAATACTGGTTCTGCAATAATACTGTCGACCAAGTTATGCAGCCGGCCAGCCCCTAGAAAAACAGGCCTCAATGGTTCCTTCAGCTATGTTCTGCTTCTTTCACGTAAAGCTTGGTTAGGTCTATTTGACTGAATACATAGAAAACGGGCTTAACTGTACAACGTACCGTCACCCTGATAACCACTGCTGGAGTATGGGTGGGGTAGGCAATAGGGGTGTGAAGCAAAAATTACACTAGAGGCAAGTATGTCAACTGTAATTTTTATTGTAATAAAACACAAAAAGCTACCTTGCGCACTGAAAAGGTTAGCAAGCTTTTAAAATGATTACATTTTCAAAGCATTTGGCAATGAACTGAACGTGTCAAACTGTAAAACGCATAGTTTTCTAAGGCATTTTCCAGGGATGGGCAGTATTTTAGATACAAGTATTTGAAATACGTATTTCAAATACTTTGTGTATATTGCATTTGTATTTAATTACAAATTGGGTAATGTATTTTACGTGTGTATTTAAATACTGAAACGTGGGTGTTTCAAATACAATTGTAATTAAATACAATTTTGTGGGCGAAAATACATACCTCAAATTTATTGTCACGACTCATTTTGCTCATCCTAAGACGTGTCCAAAGGTGCTCTTTCTTCATCTCAACGGCAACGGCAACAGCAAACCAAGAAACTCTTCATCTCTTCATGCAATAGTCCTGCGGCAGTTCGCGTCTCGCTCACCGCGGGCGCCCGGGCAGGCCTGGCGCCCGCGGCACTTGCCTCTATTACGTTAAATAAATGTTATTGCCAAAGTTACAATTCTTGTTTTTATGCATGTGGTTGTAAGATATAGTCTCCATCCTTTATTCGGACATGGGGCTTTTTTCTTTTTCTCCTCCGGCTTTATATTAAAGGCACTGTCCAGAGCAGAAAGAAAACTACGTACTGCACAGAATGCAGTGTCTCTCAATCAAGCACAAGCGTTTAGTGACTTTGTGATTGCGGTGCAAGTCCAGGGCAAGAATAGTGACGAAATCGACATTCACAGGCAGAGTGGCTAAATAAGAGGCTGTGACAACTTGTGATGCTTTCCAGCCTGATTTGAATCCATATTTTTGCCTGGAACATTCTAAATGCGCGGGTCGTCCAGATTTTCGTAACTGGTCCGAGTTGCAACAATAACAAAATTCTCTAGCTAGTGCTGCGCGTCTTGGTGGTCTCTGCTCTTTGTTGGTCTATACCAAAATGTGATCGACAAAAAAAGCTGCTTGAAGCTCTACTTTTTTCACCTATTACGTCACTGCTGATTACATTTTTTGTGTGATTATATTTCTATTACATTACTAGAGCCTCGCACACTAAATCTCGAGTGTGCGATGCAAAATTAAAATAAGATACCCAGAAACCCGTTGCAGGTGCCCTGAAGTCGCTGACGCAAATTTTGAGGAATGTATTTGGAAAAGTATTTGGAGGAGACCAAATACTTTGATTGTATTTGTATCTTGTACTTAAATGCTTTTTGGAAATATATTTAGATTTGTAATTAAATACATTTTTGACGAAGTATTTTGTATTTGTATTTCGATTCATATTTGCATGTAGTTTGCCCATCCCTGGCATTTGCCAAAGCCGCCACTTTTGGTGAGAGACTATGCTGTTTCCTTGATGTTTTCCGAGCCTTTGAGCTTTTATCTGGATTGATACCAGCGATGGCCCTATAAAGTAAAATTATAATTACATCCAGCGAAGCAAAAACGAATGAGCTTTAAACACAGATTTGGACAAATTCATCACATTCGAGTAAATTGCAGCAGCATGTAACTCTGTGAGCCTTTGGGCAAACCAAGCCTTGCAATAAAAGTAGTCTGGCATTCTCACCTCTGAACAAACTCCATTGTCAGGGCTACTTCAGGCGGATACTCCGCATTGAGCTCGAAGTACAGTAGGAACATAAGCTTCGATGCAACAGCTCTGTTGCACGTAGTGGTCAAGGCGATTCCATCTATGCACACGGTGAATTCCGCGGACATAAAAAGGCTCAGTCCTGCATAAAAAAGCAAGCAGCAGAATGAACCTCACATGACAGCAACGAAGACCAATCTTGATCTAACCTTTTATGCAAATGCTCGGCGTGGCAGGCATGTATCCAAGATCTGTGTCCTCCGCAGTTTCCTGTGAATTGCCAGAAGAGACCCACATATATTTTAATTGAAAGTACATCAAACAATACCATCATAAGATCCCCATCATTTAATGAAAGGCAAACAGAGAGACATTATGATCGGCGTTTTTGCTTCGCTAGCATTGCACCGGCTAACGAGTGGTATTTCTTAGAGTATCACAATGCTTCCCACACGCTCCAGGTCTTTATAAGTCTTATTTCCTTTTTATTTTTGTTCGGTGCTAGGTTTACAACTTGGGACGATGAAGGACGACACACACACACACGGAAGGCATAACGACCAACTGGTTTACATGTGCGCGTCGACCTTCATTGTCCCAGTTTGTAAACCTTAGCAGCGCAGAACAAAAACAATAGAAAACCTACTAGCCCAATCCCAAGGCTTATTGAACTTCATAAGTTGCCGGATTGAGTGGTCTTCTTTAAAACTCAGCAAACTTATACTAACACCCTTTGTTTATTCAATAACTAAAAGATTTTTAACAACTTTCAGTTAATCATCCATCCTGTCGCAAATATTAGGACCATATAATATGGCTCCCCGGCTGTATAACTGACCTGCTCAGACGACACTTGTGAAGCTTTCACAGCTACCTTAAAAAAAAATCTGGACCCTACAAAATACAATTCTCAACAACATTGGTTGCTTCCAGCTACTTCACCCTGCTTGAAATTGCCGGTTAAATTTAACGGTATTGGTTGTGAGGAACGTGTAGCTAAGGAATATACAGCACTATTGGTTGGATCTAAGCATTTCTAGACTCCAACTTGAGGCTGATTGAGTCATATTTGTTCCCTTTTGTTACATGACCGTTACAAATTTTATAACACTTGGGCAATAGTGTCTACTGCCTATATAAAATGTCCCTTCACATGCAAGGATAGACACATTTGTGCATCTTGACAACTTTAGAGGAAGGAACAAGAAAGGAGACAAGAGCCCAGATCTCCTGTCATCTACCTTCTTATGTTCCTCGGTGTTGGGTATTCAAGAAGTTCATAGTTCACCAGCTCACCTGCACACTTTCTGGTATTTCTATCCAGCTTTTGTGGTTCATGAATCATTAGAAAGTACAAGCGTGACATTGATTTGGAATTGTGTGTATACAGGCTGAAGCTAGAGATGACAGCATTTTAACAATTTTACAACCCTTCAAATCAATCGGGTGAGCATTGAGGGAAATTGTTTCTTGAAGGTATCTCTCCAAGTGTTTAAATTTATGCCAAATTTTTACTTGAGGAGGAATGCATTGCCTTCAGCCTTAAATATTCTAAGCTGAAAAAATCCACACCTACTTCCACGATTTTGTAGACCATATCCTCGTCCTCGCTGAACAGTGCAAGAAGAAGAGCAGCACTACCTCAGTGCTGAATCAGTATTACAAATAGGGGCATCAGTCCTTTGTATAAAAAGCGGCAACTCAGAACACACGATACAAGCCATGGAAGTAGCAGTGACTCGTTGCCTTGACAGGGTTAAGTTAGCGTTGCACTATGTGTGAACCAGCCTTAAATGTGGATATTGAAAATTAAGAATCAAACGATCCTTCCTCGCGCGCGGGCATGGGAGCGCTAAAGGGAGAAAAGAGGAAGTTGAAGTAAATGGTTCACCAGAACTGGGTCGTCCTGTTCCTTTCCCCTACGAGCTTTCTCAAGGCGCAACATTTTGGTCCCGAAACCCTGGAGTTGAACAAAGTTGGATGCCGCATTGGTGATTATGGATCGACTAAAGAAGAAACGAGCGGTTCGACGCAGCCGGAACACCAAGTTCATAAATGAGATACGAGCTGCGCTAGAGTGGACTCCAAGAGACTTGAAAGTTTGCGTGACAGACTGCTCGCTAGCAACGACGAGCTTCGGAAGGTCAATGAGGAGATAGAGCCCCTCATCAACGACAACGACTTGGAGGAGGACTACAACACCGTGGCTGACTTCGAGGACGAGGTCGCAAGGATTATCAGTGAGGTTCGAGCCCAGACGACACCGCAACCGCCACGCTCCGGAGGCGACAAAGGTAGCAGCTCCTACTTGACTGGAATCAAGCTCCCGAAACTACCACTGCTGTTGTTCCAAGGTAAGCTTACAAAGTGGCAAACATTTTGGGAGCAATTCGACGTCGCGGTACACCGCAACACAAGTCTTTCTGAGCCGGAGAAGTTCCAATACTTGCGCTGACTTCTCGTTGGACCAGCAGCCAGTATGATTTCTGGACTACAAGCCACTGCGGAGAGCCGAGAGGACACCACCATTCATGGCGAGCAAAGGGAATTGTGCTATTCTATAGTTGCAACGGACTATAACAAAAGTTTATACAGTACCATGAAAACAATAAGACAAAGCAGGCAGAGAAATTCACAGGAAGTCTAGCAGGGACAGAATAGAAAAAACTGCAGCTGCAATATTTACCCTTTAAATTTTCCTCGACAGCGCAGCAGAGACGACATGGTGGTCGTCAGCGCCTGGAGGTCGACCCCCTTACTGGGAGCACATGTAGTCTGAAACAAACAACAAACAAAAAAATAAATGCACGGACAATCCGCACGTGCTGTTATTTCGCTTCAATGGTCGCTTCAGAGAAAGCAAGCATGCACATTGTTGTCCAACCATGTCAACTGATAGCCGAAACTTCCTGCCGCCAGGAATAAGATGTTGCTTGTGCTATAAAAACAGAATTACACACTACACAGCTGGCACGCTGAAAGTTCAAACATTGAACGACATAGCTCATAAAACTTCAATGTAAGAGCTACACCTTGTGGACACTGCAGTATGTTCAGTCTAAACCGTGGTGCACTGAAAGGCTGCTTTACCCCAGCCAGTTAGGCACATCTGCAGTTTCATTCTTTTCAAGATATTATGCCTGAAAATTAATGTGACAAATTATCAGGGTTGAAATTTTTTCATCGACGCCCAGCCCAAATATTTAGGAAGTATACTAGTGGGCTAATTTCTAACTTACCACAATTATTTTTGGCATCCTGAAGGCGTCGCTTCAGGGTCCAGTTTTCATATTGGATCCACCTCACCCTCACAGCTGCAGCCACACTGAAATGCTTGCAAAGTTTCAGGCAGGGTAATTAAAAGTCGGCAGTTTCTCTCGAACACCCCTGTCACAAATTTGGTCTTTTTTGTCATTTTGCTCAGTTTAAGGGTGGTTCGAGGAGAAATTCAATCGCAATCCTCGCATATGTTAACCTGAGCGCCAAAGGCATGAGTTCGGATGAGACTAATGCCGGCCGAGCTTCAAACCAATGAGAAAAGGAAGACGAGAAGAAGGACGTGGGGACTTGGGAGCGTTTTGGGGTTGACCAGCCACGAACCCGTGACAAAATCATAGGTCAATCAACACACGTCCCATACCGCTCAAACACTGTGTCGAACTGCATTTTGAAATTAGTACCACTTCCAACGGTGTATGAACAGGGGCATTCGATTCGTGGCATGGCTTGAAATTAATCAAAGTGACGCAAGCTACGAACACACTGCCACTTCTTCTTCTGCGAATAACTGCGGCCCTCGGCTTGATCACATCAAATTGCAAAATGAGAGAAAAAAAAAGCGGAAAGGAACAACTGCTTTATCGAAAATTCTAACAGAGAAATGCAAACCCAGTTCAATTCTAGAAAGTCAGGCGCCCAAAGTTTGTCCTAACAGTAGCATCCAGTCCACTTCCATAACTTCAAAACAAAAGATGGCTATCCTCTTGAACCATTTTGACTGCAAAGGAATCTTGGCTCTGCATGAACCAAATTTCAAGGATTCTAACTTTTCAAATGTAATGAAGTATGATCACACTCTTAAGAAAAAAGGTGCGCAAAGGGACCAATCGCCATCTTTCATCCCCGCGACCCTAGCGCCCTCTATTCAGAAGCGGTAACTCGAGCAGTTCGTCCCGCGGGCATTTCGTTGCTCCCGCTGGAGTTGATCCCCTAACGAATACTTTAGTCCCCTCGCCAATAATGGCTGCCACAAGCCTTCGATGAAGTGGACGAAGCATCACTCGAGTAGCTATTCTGGAAAGAAGCCTTGGCAAAACAAGATTTTGGCCCCGGGATTTAGAAATTGTGACTACACGCGCATATTCGGTGATTGTTTCCGGCCGCGAAAAACATGAGAACGGAATCCGAGCGACGCGGAGGCGCCGGAGACGAGGCTACCTACTCTCCGACTGCCGCGCGCGCGCCCGAGTTTGAACTGGAGGTGACGGTTGACCCAGTTGACCTGTGACGGTGCGGTGGAAGCCTCGTCGGATGCAGTCGGAGTGGCAACCGATTGGACGGTGAGTTTTGATTGCTTTGGCTACTTGTTGAGCAGCAGAAATGTTATAGTCATTTCAGAACGTACTTCATAAAGTCGCAGGGTTACCCTGTACGATAGGCGCTCGCTCTCTGACGCGGTCGGGCTCGTACTCGTCCATGTTAGCGTGCAAACGAGGCCTAGCACTTCAAAACTAGACCCGGCGGCAATCAGTTCATCACACAAACGATATAACACCGGCAGATGGTTTCGTCGACGCAGCAGCGTTTTAATGCCACTTAGGTTCATCGAAAAGTACCCGTGTTCGTTTCATCGACCAACCTTGCGACGCTTCATCGGAAGCGTCTTTCCGCACATATCGCCTCGGTCGGCGGCCAAGGCGATGCGAGCTTGACGAAACCGTTGCGGTTCGCATGAGGCCTGGTGCGAGTTCGCGCCTCGAGAGTAAAGTTTCGCGCTTACGCTCTTAGGCGAAATGTATGGTCGTATCCGATATGCGTAAATAAATATGTTCTCGATCAATATTAAAGTGTCTCCGAGCGGAGCGAAGGGTTTCAGCGCGTGGTGCGGACGGTTTGAAAGCGGCGATCGCCAATTCATTTGTCGCGTATCAGAGTCGCCTGGGCAAGTCCGCTTTAGTTGAGGTAGGTTTGCGGCGAACGAAATAAAACCAATAATGCAATCCCCGTGGTGAACGAAACAAAACAAACTCGACGAAACGTTGTAGGAGCACGTATCGACGAAATTGAGCGGTGCCGCG